ATTCATTATCGTCCGTAGGTATGCTACAATATATATATATATATATACATATATATATAATTCTGTTTCTATTTACATTCATATAGATATGTGTGTGTTTATATTCATATATACTTACGTGTATGTGTATTTATATTCAAAACATATGTGTAGATATATCATCAGCATTATTTGCTGGATTTTGCTTGATGAAACGTTGTCAGCCAATATTTATTTTCATGTTAATTTTAGTTACTTTTTAGAAATAAGCGAGTTCGAATTTCGCCTAAAGCTTATTATTTATTTCCGGTCCACATAACAGCATGTGTTTGAAGTCAATGTAATAGAAATGTTTTTTTTTCTGTCTTCGTGAAGATTTTAACTAGAGTTTGGTTCATTCTTCCCAAGAACTACACCATCTCGTATGAAATTTATGCTTCACCAGCATCTTATAAGAATTCGCTTCAGGCTAAATGCTGTCTTACATTTTAGAACAAAACAGGTTAGCCCGCACTGCTAACATATACCTAAACTGCTAGCAGCATTTTGCACATGTAATTGACGAAGGGTTTTTACAATATAAGCGGTATTATTTAATTTGCAAAGTAACATTCAATACAGTGTGTTAATAAATACTAGCAGCCTTCGCCCGCTCGCTGTCGCTTTGCAAAGTAAGATATATTCAATACTTGAAATCTTTGAAACAAAAATTTTAAATGATCATTTCATTCATAAATTGGCTTATTATAGTTAAGAGAGGTTTTACAAATAGATGCCAACTTGTTGAAGTCCAAGTAAACTGCAAATTTCGAACTCTTTGCTACACTATATAAGACGATATTCCTAAACAGAACTATTTTTGATATGGAAATCAAAACAATCCTCGAATAAAAGAACAGTATCGAAAGACAGTTAATTAATGAAATAAACCTTTTTTAAATCAATATACAAATTAGTTAATCCTGAAGAGTGATATTCCCTAGAAGTAGATAATGTATACTACAGAGATTGAGACTTTAGTGTGCAAATTATTCTTCTTGGGTAATTTCACGTCTACTTATCATCTCTCAGTTGCATCTCTGTCTTTGGGCAGAGTGCGCTAAGAGGCGACTCCGCCAAAGGACAGAGTCGCAACTGGAAAAAATTATACTGAAGAGGTGCCCAACCCTGGGGAACAGCTCTCCGATGCCGCGCCCTCCTATTGTACCAGAGGGAGGGATCGGTGCTCGCACCGAGGCCAGCGCAACCGACGGTTGCGGGGGCTTGGGGAATTTTTGTTCTTTACCCGGGTGTACGTACTCAGGCTCCCCACATTAAACCGACCTTGTGTCACAACCTGACCTCGTGGGGGGTTGAGTAAATATCTACTCTTTTTCAGTAATTTCATGTCTATTTATCATCTCTCAGTTGCGTTTCTGTCTTTGGGCAGAGTGCACTGAGGGGCAACTCTGTCAAAGGACAGATTCGCAACTAAGGGAAAAGGTGCCGGCCCTTGGGAACTGCTGCCCGAGGCCGCGCCCTCTCATTCCACTAGAGAGAGGGATCGGTGCACGAGGAATTTTTCTTCCTTGCCAGGGTGTACGCTCTCGGGCTCCCCACATTAAACCGACCTTGTATCACAACTTGACCTCGTGGAGAGTGGGGGTGAGTAAATACAAATTACTCTTTTAAGTACTTTCTAACACATTACTTATCATCTTTCAACTTAGACCAACTATGACTAACTTAGACCAGCTCTGAAAAGCTTGGACTAGTGGCCCGAGGGAAAACATTCGGGTCCCTACGTTAAAAACTGACCTTGTATCACAACCTGATTCAGTGAGGGGTCCAGTAAATATCTTTTTATCATCTTTCATGGTAGTTTTTTTTTAATTCTATAATTCTAGTTTCATCACGACTTTATTTCCAGTAACTATTATTGTTGTATGAAAATTCACATTACTAAAGATTAACCGAGCTGTACCGATTTTTTTACTAAGGTCAGAAATGGCATCATGACATTTCCCCTGAACGAAGCCCTTCGTGAGAACCGGACAATTTTTTCTATTTCTTTGAGGAATAGGCTACCGAAAATTCCTTCAATTAGTCTATCGGAATCCTTTACATTATTATTATTATTTCATTTGATTTCTGTTGCATACAAATTTCCTTCCGGGTCCCAACCAGAGACCTAAGGTCAAAAATGGCGTTATAACATTTTAAGCATTTTTGTTAAATAAAAATGCCTAAGCTCTATAACTTTGATTGCTCCAAGCCAGGATCGAAACCCCACTTATTTGATATCAGTGAGATATCTGACCTCTAGGCCAAGTCGCACGGCGAAAAAGAAAGTAATCTTGATTTTTTTTTCTATACGAAATATGCTAACGGCTCGGAGAACTCAATTCATACTTGATGAGTAATGTTTAATAGCAGTAGGAGCCGCTGTTTTTTTAGATGAGAATTCGTCGCACGGCAGAAAGGAAAAGAATTTTAACGTTTATCTCTGTAGAAAATATGTCAGCGGCTCGGAGAACTCAATTCATTCTTGAAGTATATATATATATATATATATATATATATATATATATATATATATATATAAGCTGTATTTAGAAAGAAATCTTTCAAAACACGTTTGGTTGAATAATATGGACAAGTTCTATCTATTGAAAAACGCTGATTGTATGCTAAATCAAGATGAACTTCAACAACACAAAAAGACAAGTTCATTTGAAGCTTTTCAGCCAAACGTATTCCGTGACAGCCATTTACATCTTTCCTCCGTCGACATTATGGGCTGAACATTGCATGGAGACGTGAAAGTGTTGATCACCATGAAGTGTTGATCCCTGTATATAGCTCTAAAATGTGTAACGTCTAAACCGAGTTCGACCGCACGGGAAAAGCGTTCTCTAAGTATTCTTCTTATTTTTTTTAATTATTACTTGTGTTCTGTTTCCTGCTTTTTATCTTGTAGAGCCGGATCCAAACTGTGGTCCTTAGGCCGTATAAGAGAATTGTCATTTCATTGATAGCACTTTTCTTAGCATATGGGATGTTCGTAGTTGAGCGATTTTCTGGAAAATTTGATGTTACCTGGGGCACTGTTAGTAAAATTGTTCGTTCCTTTTCTCACGAGACCCAGTGCTCTGATTACTATTGGTACATTATTATTATTATTATTATTATTATTATTATTTATATATATTAAATCTTTAGCAATCATAGACCTTCGTGCCAGCAAAAAAGGAGTTGTCAAATAAATGTTTTTTTTCCCCTTAACACCGCTATTGTTTCAATTACCTTCACTCCTCGGCATTGTGTATTGTTTTTAAAAAAACGATGATTAGTATTTTAATAAAACCTATACAGGAAAGTGAATTTATATCTTTTTTCTTAAGCAAATAAAAATATGAAACGATATGTATTTATTAAATTGTTTATTGGAATATTTGACAAAACATCGGCCATTTGCCAATTGATTCAAATTGTATAAAATGGTAAATAATAAAGATCTTATTATTGTTGGTTCAGATATTTTATTAATTTAGTAAAAGTATATAAATTTATGAATAAAAATTGTTTCATATTTATTTCTAAAAATTGAATAATAATTTATAAAAAATATATGGAAATTGGTAAACAATAAATATTGCATTGCTTTAGATATGTAATGCAATTGTACTGGCTTTTATAATTATTGTGGGTCTCGCCCCTTGTACACAAGATGGACTCGTCCAAAGTATACTTATACTACGGAGAGATAGCGTGACAAAGACGTCGAGTTATACGAGAGTCCAGAAAGAGAGATAATTACGGCTTCACTTACAGAGACTTGTACATATACTTTTCTACTAACCCGTATTCCTGGACTACTAATCTTCACTTCAGGTTTGTATTCTTACGTTTAATACACATATTTTTCTATTTCACTTACTAACGTTGTTTATTTATTTGTGCAGGATTCCATCCCCGGAATCCACAACAATAATGCTGTAAATATAAAACTATTCGTGAAAATAAACAATCTAATAAATCAAGGGTGCTAAATATTTTTGTTGTAAATTCTCAAGAACAAAAAAAATGTATAAATTCACTTTCATTATATATTTAAGTTTTATTACGGTTTCAATCACCGCTTTTTAAAACAATAAATAATGCCGTGGAGTGAAGGTAGTTAAAATAATAGCGGAGTGAACGGAAAAATCGGCTTGCGAGCAAGAAGTTCTAAGTTTGCCAAATATTTTATACACATTCTAGGTACTGTCTCCAGTGGGGAAATACATTTTGTATAAGATTTATATTTTCGGATTTGGTGCCTTTGCTTGCTTTATTACACAATAAAAAAAATGGTGAAGTAAAGTTTGAGCAAACCAGAAAACCGAGTCTAAAATATTGCGTATTAATATTATTATTATTTTCTAAACATATTAAATATTTTATACACACTTCATGATACTGTCGCCCCGTAGTGAAACACGTTTTGATATTTTGTATAAGAATGGCTTCTAGAATAGTGAGCTTTTGTCTGGTGAGTTTGTTTCTGGCAAGATGCCCCACTCTTAAGACATGCTAAACTGAATTTACCAAATACCTCCAAACCAGCTACATTCGTTCAGCAAATTAAATAGGCACCTGCGAAAAAAAAAAGATTAAGTAGATATTTCTTGCCTAAATAACTACATTGATGAAACTGTCGTAAGTTAAATCAAGTTGATTTTCAATAAGACACAACGACAGTCTCATTTAAAGTTTTTCAACCAGACATATTCCCTGACAGCCATTACACCCTGCACCATCGAAGACATTACCCACTTGCCGTCGCCGCTATTTCTTTCTTCCCTCCCTATTTCAATCCTAATTACAAATTCTAAAGACTGTGACATCTTCCAGGAAATAAGGAATAATTCTTGCGATGCTTGGGCCTCCAGGAAATGAAGAACTATAAACGCCCCGTCCCAGATTTGTTCTTCCACACCCGACCACAATCTCAAAGAACCCTTACTCTTGCCCTGAGAATGATGGGGACGCAAATTTAC